GGAGGAGGAGGAGGAGAAGAAGGAGAAGAAGAAGAAGAAGAAGAAGAAGAAGAAGAAGAAGAAGAAGAAGAAGAAGAAGAAGAAGAAGAAGAAGATACAAAGAAGTACAGTTATAATTCATAAGCTTCCAGAGAGAGCAGGGTCAGGGTAATCAACCATGTAGGTGCCTAGAGAGTTCCTCTGTAATGGGGGTGGGAGAAGAGCCAGCCCTTGGTGCCTACCATTGGTGTCTGCAAAGAGCTGGACTTCTTCCAGGGTGCTGAGCTGCTCTTCAGGACAGCTGGACACACAGAGGGTAGTGGAGCTGAGCCTCGTCTCTCTGATTTCTGGGTTGCAGGAATTCATAAAGAACATGTGTCTAAGGAGATGGATGAAAAAGAAGACTTTTTAGGGCACTGACAGTGCAAAAAAGACTCCAAGGAATCCTTGCAAACTGTTCAAACAGACTCCGGAGAACAGCTGACTACAGGGAAGCAGCAAGAGGAAAAGAAGGCCGAGGCTGGGAGCATGGTCAGCTTAAGAGCCAGACCATGGAGGTGCCTCCTCCTATAGTCACTCAGAAGTCAGGGAAGTTGGGCCCTGCAAACAAATCTGCTTGTCGTCATTGCGGAGCTCTGTGCTGGTGACTCCAGCTCTCGGTGCCCAGCACTTATCCAACTGCTGTGATCCTTGATGCGGGAAGCAGAGGGAAGCGGCTGCCTGCTATGGGGAGGACCCCGGGAGGGAACCCAGAGCAGCTTTCTTCCCAGCTGGGAAAGGGAGGAGGGGAGGCAAGAGGGGTGGGGAACAGATTTAAACAGAGTATACTTTAAATATATATTTTGGGTTTTTTTTTTTTTTTTTTTTTTTTGTGGAACTGGGGATTGAACTCAGATCCTTGCGTTTGCCGGTCAAGCGCTTATCCTACTGAGCCATCTCCCCAGCCCCATATATTTTGTTTTAAGTTTTAAAAAAATGTGTTAAGATATCCATACAAGTTGCCATCTCGATCATCCTCAGTGCAGTGTAGTGGCGTAAGCCCGTCCGCACCACTTCGCTGCGGTCACGTCCATGGATACCTTTCCAGCCTGCAGAACTGCAGTTCAGTTCCCCTTAAACAGCGCCTTGTCGGCCCTTCTCCAATCCCTGGCAACCATCATTTTACTTGATTTATGAGTTTGATTATTTCAGACATTTCGCATAAGGACAATGACAGAGTACGTGTGTTCTGGGGATTCAGATACACCGTGGAGAATAACGCTAATGATTACCATTGATCACGCCTGAGCTCACGTCATTGCTCGCTGGATCCTCCCGACAACCTTGTAGGATGAGTATTTCACTAGTTGCAAAAGGTGGATACTGGTTGAAGAGGCAAAGGATTTGTTTAAGGATGCAGAAATGAAAAGAAGTGGAGACTGACTCTGAGCCTAGGATTGGCTGGTCCTACCCTGGTGGCCTTATTGCCATGCATCTGGCCTCTCTTTTTATGAGCTAGGCTAAAAGTTTTGTTTAGAAAACAGTACCAAGGCCCCCAATGACTGAGTTACACAAAGTTCTGAAATAGAGCCCCTCTGTAGCTGGAGGTTTTAACCTAGACACTTACGTTTTGAGGGTCATGTCCTGTCCAGACAGAGGGGCCCCTTCCACTGGGGAGTTCTTTTTGCCGCAGACGTTGCCATAGCTGTCGTAGCCGAAGAGGAGTCGTCCTGTGGCTCCAGCCACCACCGAGTAGCCCATGATGAACATCTAGCAAAACACAAAGTGTGTGAGGGTGTGGCCACAGGGTGGACCCCCCACACACACACACACCCTGGGGATGTTGATGCAAAATGTTGCTTAGGTTTTTTTTTTTTTTTTTTTTTTTTTTTTTTTGTACTGAGAATCCAACTCAGGACATTGCACTTGCCAGGCAGGCACTTGTGCCATGGAGCTGTATCTCTGGCAAAATGGAACCAAGTGAAACACTATGTTTCACAGTACTCTCCCTCTCTTTAGCAGGAACACAGACTGGTCAGGATTCTGCTGTGTCCAGGCTGGCTCTAGCAGCGTATGTGGGAGGGCACCCACCAGCCCTCCGATTCCACTCTGCTCTCCCTGTCGCCTTGCTTTCTTCTTCAAAAACCCATCATTTGTTATTTCGGGCTTAAGCTTCACTGGGACAACTTCATTTTTGTCTTATTTAAGTTTTTTGGCTTATTTAAGTGCATCAAGGCTATGCCAATTATTTTTCACAGAGGTTTTTCATTTTCCTTTTTTCTTTTGAAAATTTTTTTCTTGTCTCACTTTTGGTGAGCTCTGCAGAGGCTTCCAGCTGCAGAGGCCATCAAGTTCACAGCAGCTCTGAAAGCAGTATTTTGGAATGACTGCTTAAGAGTCACAAAAATAAAGAATGCAAGAAAAATAATCTCAGGCATTTTGACAGATAAGAATATCTTGCAACCATTCATCATTTTTACCCACTGTGGAATATTGAATATTTCAGTGCAAACACCTGTTCCACAGCTACCTTTGGTAGACCCTCTGTAAAGAAGGGCTAGGCTTCTTCTCTGAACCCAGATGTTGTGCTGCAAGTTTCCCAACTTATCACATATGAAATGGCACTGAGTAGTGTTCTTGATACTTACAAATCCATTCTGGGACAGAGGTCACCATTCCATAACTTACAGTATGGATATATTTCCCAAAGGTACACTGTCCCAAAGATGAATAGGTTTCAGACATTCTGCATTCACTACTAACTTGAAATAAAACTAACCAACATTCTGCGGTTGCCCAGTGTGGGCCAAAGACTGTTACTGGGGGCCACAAAGATGAACGACACAGAATCTGTGGCTTCAGCAATTCCATGCAGAAGATAGCAGGACTCGCCACCAGCCAGCCCTGAAGGGAAGGGGGTTCCTGCTAGGCTTCTCCTTGGACAAAAGACCCGGCTTTAGAACGAACAGGTCACTCATGCTAGGACACAGGATTGCTCATCCTTTACGTAAAGGCTATGAGTATGGTGTCACTTTGTGCCCACCTGGCTGGCACAGCAAGCTGACCCATGCTTTTCATGCCTGCCTCTTGTTCCTCCAACTTGGAGCCAGGTAAGTAGAGTCCTGATGGTGTTGCAAGCAGCCAAATTAGATCGAACTATTATGGGCAGCCAGATGGGCCAGGCCCTCAAAGGAGATATCACAGAAGACAAGATATCTTACAACTGTGGAAGGAATGGATGCTCCTGCTGTGGGCCAGACCTAGAGACCAAAGGTCAAACAAATGCTGACCTCCCTAAAGATTAGCATCTGGGATTGATCTTCACCCTGAGAAAGTCAGGAAGAATCATTAAGTCAACTACTACCAGATAAGGTCCTGATCTACATTCATGCCTGCTTGCTGCATGACTCGCTTCCCCATTTGGTCCTGGATTTAATCATTTTTACCTGAGCAATGGTACTTCAATCTCATTGGTTGACCATATTTTTGTCCCACCTCATGCCCACCTAAGCAAGTTCCCATGTTCTCCACCATCTTAGACCCACCTCACAGCATGGTTTTACTCTATAAAAGTCCCTGGAAAAGACAGCTTCCCAGGGACAACCTGCTCAGGAGCCGCCCTCCTGTCCCTCTCTCTATGACAGAAGCTTTCTTTCCCTCAACAAATATATTCTGCTCATAACCTTTGTTTGTTTTTAAAATTCATTCTTTGGTTTTGGAGAACACGAACTCGTCCAGGTCAGGTTGGGAGACCATTTTTACCATATATCATTTGGAAGTTCTCTGTATCATTTGGAGGTCACCCACTTGGGGTCAGTTTTTCTCCCTATACCATTTAGACTCAAGGGGGTGGGGGAAGGTCTTGTGTTTCTGCTTAGCTCCCCGGATCTAATAAGGAAATGATACTGTCCATTTACCAGGATTCTTGGATCAGTGAGATAGCTCAGCAGACTAAGCACCTGCTTAAGCAAGCTCAGGCACCAGGGTTCAGTCCCCAGTACTGCATACCAAGCCGGCCTCGGCCCCTGGAGTGCTGAGCTGGCCACCAAGACTGGGTGTGGTGCACATGCCTATAATCCCAGAGCTGGGGAGGCTGAGACAGGAGATCACTAAGAGTCTGAGCTGTGTAGCTAGACCCTGTACTAAATACATTTAAAAAAACCAACCAAACAAACAAAAAACATTTACCAGGATTCTGGATGTGCTCTCTCCCTTGGAGAGCTTGTGGGTGAAGAGAGAGTTTTTAAAGGAAGGAGCAAGTAGGATTTGGGTTTTCCTGAGTCCCCACCCCAACACTACTGGTACTTGATAAACTACTTGTTCTAATTTCAAACATGTAAGTGCAATTCAAAATGAGGTGACACAGGAAGCATGGCAAGGGAGTCAGAGACAGCGAAGGTTGAAAAATGAATAGGAAGGGGAAAGTAGGGACAGGCCATTGAGGAAGCACAGGCAGAGATGATCCGGAGCCTGAGACACGCTTTCTGTTCTGGATATTTTAAGCAAATAGAAACACAGACTGGTGCTCTTTCTACTTGCAAGTCACCATGCCTGCCTGTAGTATGGCACCTCCTTGGGAGTGTTCTTTTGTCCAGCCCTAACTCAGGAATGCACCATCAAATAATAATCCTGTCAGCGCAGGACCAGTCGGGATAGCCATTGCAGAATCCAGACAGGGAAGAGCCAGGCAGTTACAAACTCTCCCTGGTCTGTTTTGACGCCGTATCTGTGGTTAAAAATGTTGCAGTTGATACAAAAAGCCAGCCAGCTAAGAAAGAGCTCTTATTAAAACTGGACATAGCCAAGAGAACTTGAGCATGGTTGTTTTGCCAGTGAACTACAATCTTAAAGCACAATAATTCAGTCCTGTGCAATATCTCAGCTGGTTCATACTTCTTCAGACAGCTGCTGGTGGTTTAGAAGTGATGTGCTGGGTTTGACCACAGAGGGGCTGGGAGAACATCATTAAATAATGTGAACAGCACAAGGTCAGAGCTGCCAGGCACGAGGCAGGGCAGCTGCTTCCTGCAGTTACACAACACCCAGGTCAGATAAAGAAAGCGCCATCTGTGGGGAAAGTAAGCAGAAGGCAAGTTGGTGCCCTGCCTCTGCGGCTCCTTGGGAAGACCTTCAAGGGTCACAATATAAGCAACATGGGCAAAAAAGTGCATTGGCCTTTCAGACCCAGGCTTCCTCTGCGCCTACAACCAAGTCTATCTAGGTGAAACTAGTCCTGAAAGTCAACATAGGAACAAATGCCTTTGGAAAGAAAACAAATAGCATTTAGGGTCTATTAAATTGAATTCTGTTCAGCAAAGGTAATTACTGTACAGTAGTTATTATCAGGCTTTGTAAATTAATAATTCACCATGTAGCAAACAGTATGCCCTCAGCTGACGTGGATGATTTCATGAACGTGGCCTTAGAAAAGGTAGAGTGAGGCTTTTCCTGCTGCTTTTACAACTCTAAAGTAAGTCTGAGAGTGTCGAGATGCAGCTTCCACCAGACGCTGGGAAGACTACGGTGGTGCAGCCTGCTGAGACAGTCAGGAATCTCGCAGAGCAGGAGACAGAGTGGGAGCAGTCATTGCCCGTTTACCTACAAGGTTCAGATCATACAGCTGCACGCACTGCACCGTGAGTGTGCGTAAAGCTCAGCTACAGGACAGTAATTCATTCTAGGTTTTCTCGAGATTTTCCTTTGCTATAGGCCACAAAAGCTTAAAGAATATTAGATTTAGGGTTGTGCCAGGTGGCAAAATAACTTCTGCTCTGAGAGCTGAACATTCACGCCGGCCTTGCTAATATAAAGCTACTGCAAACCCGGATTCTCATTTCTTTCTCTTGTTTTTTATTAGTATATGTTTGCAATAATCAATTATAAGTTAACCCCTGGCCCGTGGCTGCCTCTCCAGGGCTCTGGAGGTTAGGAACTGCTCAGCCAGAATCTCCAAGGACTAAGTCCAGCCTGGGTTCACGACAAACGTGATGCTACTAACATTTGGGGCACGGTGACTTTGGGACACACAGCACACACCGGCTTCGTCCCTGCCAAGCAGCCACACTTACCAAACCAGTCCAAAAGAGAAAGAACAGGAATAACCATGTCGTGTCTGTGCATTTCCGATAAATCTGGGGTCTCCACTCTCTTTGCCTGGGAGTTGTCTCTTCGGAAACCTTCCAGAAAAAGAGAGAGTTGAGATAAAGAAATCAACCAACCAGCTAGTCTCAACCAAAACAAACCTGCTCCAAGCCGACTCAAAGTAACCGATCTTTTATTTATTTAAGCGTCCACCGTAGCTTTTCGCAGAGCTTTGGAACACTTAGTCTGCGGTGTGCCGAGTCCCTGGCGCCGAGTTCTTACCTGGGGGCGCAGCTGTTGGCGGCCCCCTCTCACCGCGGCCAGCCTCGCCCTCCCGCCGTCCAGCACCCCAGTGGGGCCGAGGTCCTCCCCGCCAGGTGTCCCCGGGGTAGGGCGCGCAGGGGCGAGAGCGTCTGTCGGCTCTGTGCCCGCGGGAGGCAGCGGGACCTCCTGGCTCTCCCGGCCGGGGCTGCAGGCACTCACCACGTACTCGCCGCCCAGGCACTGCATCGTGCGGCTGCCCGGCCCGGCCCTGCGCCCCTCGCCGCCCTGAGCACCGCGCCCAGCTCCGCGGGGGCCGGGAAGCAGGACCGGCAGCGCACAGCGCCGCCCCGCGGACACCGCCTGAGCCCTCGCGGCCGTTCGCGCTTAAAATTCGCTCTTGTCCTGCTGGATTCCCAAGAGGCCGAGGGCGCCTCCACCCCACCGGCTTTAGCCCCGCGCGACAGCCCCCCCGGGACGCCCGCCGAGGCACTGCCAAGCGGGGACCCCTGGCGGCCCTCGCTGGGGCCGGAGGAGTGCCCTCCGGCGAGCAGGAAGTCAGGTCTCCAGATCCCGGCGTGGGGAACTTGCCTGGCGCCCCACACCCGGCTGATTGGTGAGCAGCACCTACCGGGCGCCTGATTCTGTTCCGCAAGATTCTCCGCTTATCACCAAGGCAGAAACTGCGATTATCCCCAGTCTGCGCGTGAGGGGAACTGAGGCACAGAGCGGCGGCGTTGCAGCTTGCCCAGAGACTCAGCTAGGAACTCGGAGAGGCCAAGTTAGAGACAGGCTCGCAAGCAGACTCCTCAGCAGACATTCCAGTCTCCGTCCAGCCACCTTTTCTTCCAGCTCTCTCCTCCATGCTGTCCTGCAGACTAAAACAGAAACCTCCGGGGAGGCTGAGGACTGCCTTGCTCTGCTCCCGCGCGGAGGTGGTGGGAGGAAAGCCTTTAGGCGATGCCCTCGCCTCTGCCACGTGGCCTTGGAGCCTGCTCTGACTTTGGCAAGAAAGTGGTGAGCTCTCTGTCCGTGGGGGAGAAAGGTTCTCGGGCTTATCAGATGGCACAGAAGTGCTGCTGGGGTGAGTCCCCCAAACAGCTGCAGATGGCCTCTCCAGGGTCTCCTTCCCCGCTCTCACTTCTACCCTCCTGCTCCAGTTGTAGGGCCTCCCGGTTCTTGCTTTATTTCGTGGACCACAGCAAGAGTCTGGAAAAGCCTCAGGAGACTGGCCGGGTGGATGCTGGCTGTAGCACCCACATCTCCGGACTCACAACAGATCTCCTGCTCCAGCCACACTGTGCCTTCCCAGACACAAGTGGACGGAAGAGAGTAGGGCAAACTCCAGGGGGACACGAATTCACAGGACGTGGGATTCAACACAAGTACAAGTGTGAAAAGACCACCATTGGCTGACGTTATTCCATCTGAATCTGCGTTATTAGGACAGATGGACAGAACAGTTTGATTGATTGGAGGGTGGAACCCAAAGCCTTTGCACTGAAACTTTTTTTTTTTTTTTTTGACATAGCTCAGTTTCTCAGGTCATGTGGTCCTCCTGCCTCAGCTTCACAAATAGCTAGTATGAGAGGCATGGGATCTGCATCTGGCTTATAGATTTAAATACATGTGATAAAATATATCTAAGGAGAGGAGGTATGATGTTAGCAAGATGATGGGCCAGGACGGCAGGCCCGGGGATCCAACCCCGGCCCCTGCGCCGGTTTGCAGGCGCTTTAATCAGCTGAGACATTTGGCTGGCCCTTTCCACGGCACATTAAGTGAAGGAAGCCAGACACAGTAAATTATTCTATGAGCGCATTTATGTGACATTTTAGAAAGGGAAAAGTATAAGGCTAGAAAATCAATTAGTGGTTTTCCACTGCCAGGGGAATCCTGAAGGGGCTGGTATGGCGGAGCTCGTGCGTCGTGCTGACCGTGACAGTCATCGTCTGACGCTGGCAAATTGCACAGAACTATGTACAAAAAGACCAAGTCTTTTTATATGCCAACTAGATAAAACCTGACTTTTAAAAACTCTAGAGAATAGTCTAGATACAAAGAAAAATACAATAATCACAATCTAGAACTAAAATTCTAGAAGAGATCAAAATTATGAGTTGTGCAGAATTTGGAGAAAAGGTCGCGGCCACAGTGACAGCAGTGTACTAAAGCAGTGCTGCTCAAGCCAGGTGTGGTGGTGCATGCCCATAATCCCAGCCCTTGGGAGGCTGAAACAGGAGGAGCACTGTGGATTTGAGGCCTGAGCCCAAATCCAACCTGAACTACATAGCGAGAGCCTAAAAAAAAAAGTCCTACTCAAAGGTTAGTTCACAAATTATTTGTTAATGGTTCACACTGAGAAGAGGATCCTGTACCAGAATACAAATCAGTTATGTCATCAACAAACTCTTTGGTTCAGGTTGACATTATTTTTATAGCAAGATGCTCTTGATAAAATGTGTATTAATTTGTACTCAGATTCAAACTCCTCACATTATCTAGGGAAAGCATTTTATTTGATTTTTATTTTTATTTATTTATTTATTTTTTGGAACCGGGGACTGAACTCAGGCCGCTGCGCTGGCCAGGCAAGCGCTTATTCCACTGAGCCATCTCCCCGGACCCCTATTTTTTTAATTGTAATATTAATTTTATTCAGAAAGAAGTAACAATGAGACAGTTTCAGATTAGTAGTACAGTTACAATAATTAATACATTGTATATTGTTGGCTTCATACTATCCATTCACAGTTCAAGATGCAGACATGATATCTTGTCTAGACACTATTAGTTCAAAACTTTCTTCTCATGGAACTAAGAGAAAGTAGCTGTATATCTATGCTATTTTTTTTTCTGAGAGATATGCATTTATTATAGTGTGCCCATTGGTGGTTTCTGCTGAACCCATGATTTACTACTTTTACATTTACACAGAGGTGCAGAAGTTTCTAGAACTTCCCATTCCTTCACCATGAAGGTTTTTTTTTTTTTTTCCAAATCAAATTTGTAGGACAGTTTCAATAATTAACACATTGCATACATTCTTCCTAGTGGTTAATTGCTGTTCCAGATGCGGACATAATATCCTATTTATAAACACCATTAGAACAAATCCCTCTATTCATTAAGAGAATGTAACTATATATCTATCCTAACCACTTTGAATACACAGATACAAAATGGACATTCATCT